CCCCCCCCCCCCCCCCCCCTTCAGCATTGTATCTCGTAGGACTTGTGTTTGCCCAATCCTCAAACACTTCCAATGGTTAGCAAGGGGTAAGATCCCAATGGCAGTGGCTGGTTGACATCAGGGACCACAGAGATTGTAATCTGCTGGCAATTGCCAGTGGCCACATGACCATGCCACCCACACAGATATCTTCAGTCTTTCCAGAAACCAAAAAGAAAAAAAGAAAAAGAACAAAAAAAAGGCAACCCACTTGTGGGTGGATTGGACATAACTGGATATTGAAGAAACTAGTGACGGATCGAAAACAAGATTTTGAAAAACAGATGGTCGGAGGGACAAGGTGTCACGGACCCCACAGAGACTGGAGCTCTCGACAGCTACCGAGGCAGGAAACAAAGGTTGGAAAACATAAAAAGTATTAAGCACACATGGGAGGCGGAGATGAAAAATTCAGCTCACCTGAACCAAACGAACCTAAGCTTGAAAGGTTATCAATACTGTACAGCATAAAATTGCAGAGTCCATAAGACCTGTCAATCCCGCTCCGGTTACTTCCCTGCATTGACAACAAATGCATAGTGCCGCAACCCCACGAAACTAAGGTTCTGCCACGACTGTGCACACATGTTTACGCATTCAACTTAGTACAAGTTACATCGCATTTCTGAACCTCCTGTGAACTGCAATCAGACTTGTTATCACCTCACGTTCAACATGCATACATGCACTGCCAGCTGGCGATGGCAACAAAAACTTCCACAGACACAGAGTCAGCAACAGACTTGAGATGGCGCAGTCAGTGCGCCCACACAAAAACTCAGAGATATTCAGCCAGGAACTCAGCTCAAAACAACTTGTCACATCTCATGGCTATGGCATCTGAGCGCCAGTCTGGAATTCCCACCCGAACACTGTATTCGGCGTCAGACACTCCCATGCACGTTGGATCTTACCCTGAATGTCTGCACTCACACGCACACACTATCTTCTAACAGCTACACACAGGCAGCTATGGCCGCTGTCGTCTTCCTCCTCCTAGTAGCTATGGCCGCTCGCCCTCTTCTACCTTCGGGCTAATTGCTGACCACCGGCGAACTCCACACACAAGTCACTGACGTGGACCCCAGTTCTTTTCCACTAACCTTGCTCTGACGTGGACCCCATTTCTTTTCCACTAACCTTGCTCTGACATGGACCCTATTTCTTTTCCATTCTCGGACTCGCCGAGGCAAGCAAAAAAAAAAACAGACGGCCTGCGACATCCTGGAAATCTAGTCACCCTTCCCGTTTCCTCGCCATTTCTCCATTTCTCTGCATACAACTGATGTCAAAAAAAGTGTGACGGTCAGAATTTGAGGATTGGATAGGGGCAGCGTGGGCCAGGTCAGAAAATTCTACTGAATTTCCCAGGGTTGGACGGAACCATGATGCAGATTAGGGGAACCCCTAATTACAAAACGTTCAGTACGAGAACTTTGCTAGTGGTGTGGAACAAGACCCTTACTGCCGGCCTCAACCGCATAAAAATAGATAATAACAGACCTCAACCGCATAAAAATAGATAATAACTTGTATGAATATAATTGTCGCACGTGATGATGAAACGAGCAACAGTACTCATGAACTTGTCCTGACCACCATTTCAGGAGTTGTTCCCTCTTTGGGGAGAGAGATGGACAATCCACAGCAAATGAAATAACAAAATATTACTGATTCAGTGGGCCCCACTGACCTCCCCCAGTCCCTTATCTGAACACCTCCTAGCCCCATACACCCCATTTGTCACCCCACAAACACATTTTTGCTGCCCCTGCCACCCCACTTAAATTAACAATACCTCAGCATTCGCATGAGGAGAAGAGGACCCACTACGAATGGGCAACTCCAGCAGTATCACAGAGCCTCCGGCAGCCATTTGCAGCAGTATCACAGAGCCTCCGACAGCCATTTACGAGCCTTTGGCAGCCATTTACAATGAAACACATACGAGTGCCTCGCCTTGCCCTTCGACCACTGGATCTCCACAGTGTCACCCCGATCCACTCAATATCTGCGCCTGTTTCTTAACTCATCCTTCCCCCCCAAAAGCCTTGCATTCAAAATGACTTGAGGTCTACACTCCAGGCGAGGTACAACCACGGTAAGCGCCATGAGCAGTACTACTAGAACGCTTGTGCAATTTGCCACAAAGTGCAGTACTACTAGAACACTTGTGCAATTTGCCACCAAGTGTCCGAAGTGGCAGCTAACCAACAAGCACACGCTTACCCACCATAAGCAAGGAACTGTCTCGACTACCCACTGATGTGGCCACTTCACATGTGTACATTCAGTTTTAATTGAACAGTATTAAACCCCGTTACATTCTTTTTTGTTTTTTAACCCCGTTACATTTCACGAGGTGGTTACACTGGACCAAGTTAGTGACACCGGGAATCCGAAATACATGACCGATTACCAATCTCGTTGCTCTGACACGTACAGCCCCAACTCTCCTGTTGAGATAATACCGAGATGGCCCCGTCTTTGTACTCGAATCATTTCATCAACTTCAGGACTCCATACAAGGAATCAGGTTCAACCCCATGATCAATGCTCTACTAAGGCCCTTCTCCTTTTCGGCCATTCCCGCACAATCTTAGGATACCTGTTGTGCTAACATCTACTTCACTATCTTTTCATTTTGCAGTTAATATATGATAGGAGCATGTCGTGCGCTAGGATATATGCCAGACTGTCTTCAACACCGGACATGCATCATCTTTCCTCCCTCTTGCTATCTACAACTCACCAGGACTCTCCCCTTTTCACATCCAAGTCAGATATTTCTGTTTTAGCATTTGGAGTCCATAACCACAAGATGTCGAATTCGATGCGTGGAACAGATTAGACCCCTAGGACTGACGCTGGCCACTACACCCCTAAAATCTTTCTCACTTTCAGCCATCTACATGCAATCTGACAAACTATATCCCCCCGAAATATAGAACACATTCGTTTTGTGTGTTGCCCTCCTTGCACTTATCCAGCAATCACCAAGAATACTCGTCTATAAAATTCCCATACGCTAATGGTCATGGAGAACAACATAAAAGGCATCAATGAGATCTGACCAGCCCAAAATAGAGAGCAGGATTGTGATACCCACCATGAGTGCATTTGCGCATAGCAGAAATGGTAATGCGTCGGGTCATTAGCCAAGCGGGTTGCTGAAAAGTACTTAAAGAAAAGTATATAGAAAGCTAGGCTACCAGCCGGGCCGCCCAGGTCACCCTGTTTTCCCTGGCAGCCCGGCCTTACACCAGCAAAGGTCCCAGCACAAAAAAAAATAAAAATATATATATATATAGTTATTTTTTTGGCCCGGCCAGGCAAGTGGTCCCGTGCCACTCTGGTAGGCTAAGAGCTCAGTATCTTTGATTACAGAACAGATGGAAGTATGTTCTTTCTCCAAATCAAGTCGTGATAAAGCCTTGCTTCACATTCTTCTCTGAGCTCATAGGTCTCCTCATGCCCTCTGCTGAAGCGAACATAAATCTTGTTTCCGGCTCAGGGCCTCGCCACACCACTGTCAAAAGGCCAAAAAATTCGACGGCTGTCAGAAGAAATTCGACAGCCTCCATTCAACAGTTTGCCCCCCCTTCGCCACACAGCACTGTAGAGTGCACGCACTTGTGAAAGCAAGATGGAAAATGACAACGCGCCTGAGGGTAGGACAAGCATCAGTCCATCCCGACCTTACCCCCTCTCACCAAATTTTGAAGCGAAGTCGACGGCGCAGCCGAGTGTCGAAAGCATCGGAGTAGCAGGCTGGGGATTCAACAACTTTCGACAGGAGGTGTCCAGAAGCATTCTCTGACAACTTGCGCGACACTCGGAGTAGCAGGCTGGGGATTCAACAACTTTCGACAGGAGGTGTCCAGAAGCATTCTCTGACAACTTGCAAATTTTCTTCTCGTCTCCGACTTCGACAGCCTGTGTGGCGAAGAGGAACTGTCGAAAGTCGCATTTTCGACAGTGGTGCGGTGAGGCCCTTACATCCATTGCAGTGCAGTTTTCAGGTCTACCCTCCCCCTCCCTCCCTCCCTTCAAACCTCAAGTACACTGCCCATGGAAACTTGACAATCGAAAATGAGTCATTCCAAAAAACTCAGCCATGCTACTGGGCCAAAATGGCTAAAGAAAAGGAAAAAACACAGGGGGGTTTCAGCAAAGCTTGGCATGCAGGGGCAGGGGGAATCAGTCTCACCCAAAAGAGGCTCCCGGACCAATGTACTGGTGGTTTAAAGTCTACTCTCCAGGACACAGGAATATCGCAGTTTCTCCCCGGGGTTTGAATGTTGGCCAACCAGCCTCGTGCACAGTCCAAGGAAAGCAATAACCAGGGACAAAGGGGGCGGGGGGGGAGGAAAGGGGTCATATATCAAACAGAGAAACAGAGGACTGGGTTCGAGATCATCCACTAGAATGTGTGAACAAGGAGCGGAGATGGAAGGGGGGGGTGGGGCGGAGCAGAACATCGAGCCCGGCACTGGTCTCGAGATTGTTACAGTAGAAAGTGTTTGATCGCCTTGCAGCAGAATGGAATTGCTCACAGCAGCTCCCCGAACCCTACGCTAGAAAACCCCTCCACCAAGTAAAGAGTGCTCAACACACATTCTGCCCGACTGAAGAGTTCTCCTACAGGCTAAAACCCATTCACTGAAAGTTTGGGTTGAACTCAATTGAGCATTTGATTTGAGACCCTTGATGGGTTGAACTCGATTGAGCATTTGATTTGAGACACTTGATATAGTTTTATATGAAACGCTTGGCAATGATTGCGCGTTCGGTTTGAAGCCCTGGATTGAGTGTTTCTCCGTTGGCATCACCAGTACCTCGCCTGGCCGTTTTCTCATTTCCTGATGCATGCAGCCCACAGATAGGCCACGGGACTGCTGGGAAAAGGTTTTGGACAGGATTGTTTCGAACTGCTCGCTGAGTCGCTGCCTATGTACCCAACAGAGGAAGGTTGCGTGCAGGCCATCAGATGACATATCATTGAGCATTCTTTCAGCCACGCATGTTACAACACCCTATCCTCTCCCTTGAAGTTTCTTTGTTGTCTACTTTTCTTTTCTTTCATTCTCTTCGTTTTCTTCAAACCTTTTCCAGAAAAGGCCCATCCAAATTGGAATACTGACAGCTCCTCTGGCTGCCCATTTTCACCTTCAAGTTGAGGTAGGGCCTCGTCACACGGCTCACAAAAACGAAGTTTCGGGCAGAAAGGATCTTGCTCCACTACGAGTCTAGAGTCTAGACTTGTAAACATTCAAGAGTCCATCCAAGCCTCCTGAAAACAAGACACTCCTGAAATAGTCAAGAGTGGATGTCGCTCCACTAAGTTAAACTCTTGAAAGTCGATATTGAAATGACCTTTCGCAAGCTATCAGACCGAGCTCCAGAAGGCTGAAGCGCACTGTAGATCGGTCTAGAGTGCCTGCCAGCAACCAGTGGATTTTCAAGGGCGGTCACGAGGACCCTTGGTGGCGCCTCGTCTTTCAAGAGTGAACATGG